AGAAGAAAGAGTGACTGGGCTTTGAAGCCAGAAAGATCAGGATTCAAATTCCGTAAGATCAGCGTCTTTAAAGAATGGGGGAAAATACCTATCTTGCAGGTTGCTTTGAGGATTAAATATAACTTGATAGAATAGAAACTGCTCTGTATACAATATGTGCTCAATAAATAATAGCAGCTGTTTTGTTAGGGTATGTTCAGTAGGGCTGAGGTACAGCTTTTACCCATTTACAGTCTGAAAAGCCCATAATCAGCCACTTTCATGACTGAAAATTAGGGACTTGGATGAGGATCAGAGAAAGCATTTATTGTACATAAAGAAACAAAGCACTGTTACTATGATCTGTCTGCAGGAAGATGGCACCAGGCCCTCCTTTGTGACATGATGTCACGGGACTTCACTTGTGGGAGGAGGCGGCAGAGGGGGTGCAGTGAGGTCTTCCAGGAGCAGCTTCTCCTCTGCACACAGGCCAGAGGGGAAGGTTTTCCCAGGTGGTGTGGTAGTGTGAAAGCCTGTAGCCTTTAGCCTTCAGGAAGTTTCCATTGTACTGTGATTTTAAGATGTAAGCTTCCCTTTTATTAGAGAGTGTCCTGAAGCTTTAGATTTACTGTTCTCATACTACAAAGTAAGACTGCTATCTCTTGATCAGTAATACCCTGAGGCTAGACCCTATCCATTTCTGCTTAAATCCCTACAATTCAACCTGCCTATAAACCTTAAGGGAGGGCCTACCCTGTGCCAGGTGCTGAAAATACAAAGACAATCTGATAAGTTTCCCTTCCAGGAGGGGCTGCCAGAGAGGAAGGATAACCGATGGCTCTTGATAGGCAGTGCAGTGTTGAGTGATGTAACAAAGCTATGACTACAGTGCTGCTGCGGAGGGTACTGAGAAGAGAAAAATGAATTTACCTGGGGAGGTTAGGGCGAACTCCTCCAAAGAAGTGGCATTTGATCTGATCTTTGGACTGAGTCATCAAGCCAAAGGCTTTGAGGTGAAATGAGGAGAGAGAAAAAGCAGAGAGCGAGGGAAGGTGGTAGGAGGGAGGTGGGGGGCAAAGGCGGCGGGGCGGGGGCGGGGAGGGGAGGGAAGAAAAACACTCCAAGTGAAAGAAACAGCAGGAACAAGGGTGCGAGGCAGTAGGCCATTCATTCATTTGTTCAGTTATTTACTCAACAAGCAAATACTGGTTGAGTGCCAGACACTATTCTTGGCACTGAGGATACAACAGGAAGCAAGATAGACAAAGTCCCTGATGCTCCCATGGAGTTTACCCTTCAGGGCTGGATGGGACTGAAAACAAATACATAAACGAGGCAATTTCTGAGAGCCATATGTGTTACGAAGAAAAGAAGTTGGGAGAAGGTATGATAGAGAATACCTTGGCGGGGGGCGGCGGGTGCATGTAAGATTGGGTGGTCTCTCCAGGGGATGCCCCCTGGGGGAGGCATTTGACCTGAGAACCAAGTGGCCGGAGGCAGCCTTCTGGAAGCAAAAAGTCCCAGGGGGAAGGAACAGCAAATACACTGTAACGGGACAAGGCCTGGTGTATCTGAGGAACAGAAAGGCAGCCAGCTTGTCTGGAACAGTGTGAACAGAGGAGTGATAGGAGAAGACCAGAGAGGGACAGGCCTGACTAGGCGGGCCTTGTGGGGCATCGCGAGGAGGTTGTTTCAAAGAAGTACCATCTGGCTGCAATGTAGAGAATGGATTGGAAGCAGGGAGATCCATTGGGAAGCTGTTGCTTATTTTAGGCAAGAGATGTTGGCGCCTGCGGCCAGGGTGGTAGCCCAGAGACACACGTGTTCAGAGCAAATATATATTTTGAAGTAGATCTGACAGGACATGCTGCTGATACCTGCCGCGGAGCGAGGGAGAGGAAGATGCAATCACATCAAGTGCTATAAGAGGTAGAGTAGGATGAGGACAGAGAAGTGACCTTGGTCACTGAAGCAGTGACGTTGATGTAGGAAGAGTGGGAACGTATGACTGGAGAGAGGGTGCTGGAAAAGAACAGCTGTGAAAGTTTTGGGAATGAATGAATCTGGCTGCACATAGAGCAGGCAAGGAAACTGAGCCACTGACAAAGCCAGGCTGATAACCTGTGTGTGAGGCCAGGAACCTCTCAAAATTTTACTGCCAAGGGTCCTGTTTGTTTGTTTGTTTGTTTGTTTAAAGAGTCTTTTGGTTAAATCTGAACAGTGTTTGTTTGGTTGGTTGGTTTATTTCACATTTCTCCATTTCTTTTTTCCTTACAGGATAAATATCTGCCTATTGCCACACACTCCACATTGGCCTTAGCCTCTCTCCTCTCAGTGGATTGTTCAGAACGTGTACTATCATCCAAGCCAGGCAGGAAATTCTGCACACAATAGGCCCTGAGTAAATGTGTACTGAGGAGCACTTAGAGGTGTTTGCTTTCAGAGAGGAAGAGAAGATGATTGTTTTAATCGTACTTAACAACTCAGGACATTTGACTCTTTTGATGGGGAAGGGACTTTATCAGGCTTCTGAGATAATTTTTGTTGGCTGGCTGGCTGGCTGGTTCTATTGTCTCCTGGTCCTGTCTACGGAGAGCCTCTCCCAGTGCCCTGCATGCACACCGCAGGCCTGCAGGGGTCCTCAGATTCTCTGTGAACCACTGCACCAGGCTTGTCCTCTTTAGCGAACATTATCTTTTATTTAAACAGAAACAGTAGCCACCGATCTTGTTACATAACATACCAATATCCTAGAGTGTTAAACTAATGTAGTGTCTGCTGTTGAGGAGTGGTAATCTGTCAACACTAATAATCACTAGGAGAATATTGCTGAAACATTCAGACAATTTTGACTTTATGGGCCTACTTAGAATTTTGGAGCTGGAAGGGACTTCAGAGATCTTCTTATTTCATTTTCCTTTATTTACTTATTTTTTTAAAAGAGAGTTTGTTTATTTTTAGGAGGGGGAGGGAGGGAGAGAGAAACACCGAATCAGTTGCCTATCAGTTGCTTCTGGCAGGCCCCCAACTTGAGACCCATCTGCAACCCAGGCATGTGCCCTAACTAGGAATCCAACCAGTGACCTTTTGGTTTTTGGAGGGCGCCCAACCCACTGAGCACACTATCAGGGCTCAGTCTTCCTTTTAAGTTGCGAAAACCAAGGCCCAAAGAGACAAAGACATTTGCCCAAGAGGCAGACCAAAGGCTAGAAATCAAGCCCTTGATAATCTAAAGAATCCATCACACATTCTTAGATTAAGGATTAAAGTGTTAAATCTTTGTTGTTCACAGTTCTTTCTTATCTCAAAAGCCTTTTCTCCCCAATTTTAGACCTTTGAAGTTTGTCAGTTGCAAATAGTGACTAGGACTCTCACTTTCACTGAAACTGCACATCTGAGACTGATTCACATGTACAATACTGACGTATTTGAGGCAGTTTTGTTGTTTTTGCTAACATTAGGACTGGACTCACACTCAACCATGCAACGTATATTAACTGAACATAGTTCGAATGCAGCGTATATTAACGGAATCAAATACATTTCGGGGATAGCTGGGTGGACTTGTGGGTGAAGTTTGAGCCACAGCGCGGGTGGAGAGGCCCATGGCGGTGCGCAGCCACGCAGGTACCATTCTCATTCCTGGTCTCTGAGGAATTGCGGGAACCACAGCGGCCAAGTGAAAAGGCTGGGCTGCTCTCGTCCCCTGACCCCTGCCAGCATTCTTTTTCAAACTGACCTGTTTTCCTGCTGGGAGACTGCCCCGCTCCACCCACCTGGTGCCTCCCTGGATTTCCTGAGGCCCTGGCTTATTTTTTAACCTTCTGTTCCTTGAAAAGCACCACCCCACTGACCCAGAACTGGGGCTCCTCCCCTCTGGTCATTGACCAACCTAGTCTCCTGGGGTTACCATCCCCATCTTCCTCTAAAATCCTTGGAAAATCAGTAGCAGTAGGGGGCTGAGCGCCGTCCAAGTTCCCTGAAGCCTCTTTCCTACTTTTAGCTCGCCGCAATTACTAGCAGAGCAGAGAGAAGAGGGAAAATGCCCTGCTTCTGAGTAGGGCCTGGTTGGACCGGGTCAGGCTGGCACCATCTTATTAAATGGGCTTCCCCCGGGGAACTGAGGACCTCCCCGGGTAACTTAGACTCTGGGTTAGGGGCGGACAGAGTTACTATCTTGCACCTCCAAACAGAAGCCCTATAAAACCTCCTTCCTTCCTACCCTAGGTTCTGGGAATCCCAGTCTTGACTTGGTGACAAATCCCAAACCCAACTAAACTGTCTCTTCCCATGCGCTGGGAGCCCTCCCGCCCTCATCGCCCTTTCTTTTTCCCTATTTCTCCGGCCAGTAGCCTTGTTTTGCCAGGCGCCGCTGGCTGAGCCTCGTGGGGTCAGACCCGTCACTCGCAGCACTCCCCGCACCCAAGCCCCGCCAGGCGGGCGGGGTGGGGGGGCGGTAGGGGAAGCGGGGGGCGGAGTTCCGTCTTTCGCTGATTGGCTCGGGGTGGATGGCTGCGGCCGTGCGGAGCCAACCCGCGGCGTGTTGCTATGTGCTGAGCGGAGGGGATAGGCGCGGGGGCGCGTCCGTCACAGGGCAGCCCCCGGCCGGCCCGGAGGGATGCGGAGTGGCGGCGGCGGCAGTGGCGGAGACTGTGGCTTTAAGAGCGCTCCCGGAGCCCGGGATCCAGCCGGGCGGTCCTTTGCTGCGGCGCATCCCCGCGGAGCCAAGCCTGGCGCTGGCCAGACGGGGCAGCCTGCTGCCGGGTAAGCAAACCCGGAGCGCTGCGCGGGGCCGGGCGCGCGAGGCATGGGGCGTACTGTCAGCGCGAGCGCTGGACACCCCGAGCTGGGCACCCGTCCCATGGTCCCTCCGGTCCGACCCTGCGGAGCGCGGGCCCTCTGCCCAGCACAGCCAAGGCGGGATCCGGTGTGGGGTCTCTGTGGGGGCCTCGGGCGCAGGGGGCGGGGAGCTGGCCGCCGGGGCCACGTGACCGGTTTGTTTACAAACACTGCCGGCCGGGCGGCAGCCGCGATGGGAGCCCAGATGGCGCGGGGTCCTCAGATCCCGGTCCGGGACCTGTTCGAGGATCTGGGCAAGTCTGGGATGTGCGATTTGGCAGAGGGGACCTGGAGACCCAGTTGCTGCTTCTTCCTTCATATAGTTCCGTGGGTTCAGGCTCCGTGGGGGCCCGGGCAGGGAATTCGGACGCTTTCTGTCTCGGGTGAGCTGGCTGTTTGCTGGACACTTTGGGTCCTGGAGCGCCGCCCTTGGAGCCCCCGCCTGTGGGGGACTGGCCGCCCTCGAAACTGCTGGGAGCGCCCTCGGCCTGCCCCGGGCCGAGGTGACCGCAGCCGAGTTCCTGCCTGGCTGCTTCCCGGCGCCTCCCCAGTGTCCTTGCCAAGGGGGTGGGTGTGAGTTTGCTCCTGCCTGACGGAATGTAGGGTCTTCTGCAGCGAGTACTTCCCAGGAATTGGCGCTGAGGGGCAGCCCTAGCCTCTCCCTGCATCAAGTTCACCCTCTGTGGCTGCTGACCTCTTCTGGGTGTCTGCCCAAGTGGTGGCTTTTCTCCCGTTGGGGGCTGGGGGCAACCACCTGTTCTTTTGGACTCACCCCAGGAGACTGCTACCTCCGACTTCACTCTCAGTTTACAATTGCTTAAAAAGCCAAGTGAGTGTGTGTCCTCCGTTTTTCTCAGTTCTGCGTGTAGCTGACCATCCCACAGTGTCACTGCTGTGAATGGCACCTGAAACTGCTTCTGGGCTTTGCTGAGGTTTTTGCTTTTTGGCCTTCCTGGTCGATTTGCTCTCCTGGTCTCGCTAGTCTGTCTTTAGTGACTTCTGCTTCTCGTGAGTCTAAAGGCTAACAAGACAGCTAGCTACTCATGTTTTTTCCTTGCCTTTATTCCCCTTTTCCTGTCTTCTGGCCAACAAGACGTGCAGGACAGGACTCCCTGCTCTAGAGCACTGGGCAAGAAGGGGAACTGCTCCCCTGCATCTCATTTGTTCACAGCACATTAGTGGCACAAGGGAGCTTCGAGGGTTAAGTTAAGCCACTTGCCCGTGGTAAACATGTCACTGGCTTGGGGTGGGACTTGACCTCACATGCTTAATGCTGTACAGTGCTCTTGGTTGTGAGAACTTGGCCTTGTGATCAGTGGGATTGGATTCAACCTTCCCTGGTTTTCCTTTGACCTAATCACTGCCACAGGACTGCAAATGTGGGCCACACCTGAATGTGAGTTCTGTCCATCCCTTCCCGCGTTGCCTTCGGGCTCCCCGGTAATACTGAGCCTGAGTCTTGCCCTGGTGAGGAATATTTTAATTTTTCTGAACTGTGATATAAGTGGCTACAAGTTTTGTGGTGGTGGTGGTTGTTTAAGTTGAGGGACAGGTCCAGCCTAAAGAGGATCACAAACTTCCCTTTGACACCGTCCCTTGTCCTCAGCTCCATGATAAGGGTGTCAGGTAGGAGCAGAACCGAGGCCTTGGGCTCATCCCTGTCCTCAGTTTGGTTTTGCCTTATTAGTTTAGGATTTAATAACAGCATTTCTGGGATCTCTCTTGATATCTTGTGCTTGAATTAAAATCAAGAAGCTTGGGGTTCGTGGTGGAAAACAGAAAATTAAACACCATGCATAAGAATACTGTTTTCCTTCTTCCCTCTAGGGGAGTGGTTTTCAAACTTTGAGTGGGATGCACAGTAAGGAATACATTTTACGTCACTGCTCATAGGTTCACAACTGCAATAAGTTACAGGAAACAATTGCCCGTACTACCTGCAGTATGCTCTGTTTATAATTTTTGTTTACCTAATTAAAAAACAAACAAACAGCTGCTGTTCGTAACCCATTAATTTCTTGACCAAATGGCTAATGGCCCACAGTTTAAGAAATGTTGCTCCAGGGCAGAGGCCCTCGAACTTAATATGTATAATGATGCCCTTGGTAGGTGTTTAAAAATGCAGTTTGTTAATCTACCCTGGAGATGTTTATTCTCAGTGGGGCACATTTTTAATAAGCGGGCCATGTGATTGTGATGCAGGCAGTTGATAAGAAATCCTGACCTAGTGGGGATCGTAGGCAATGAACACTGAAAGGCATTTAACTTGCATATGAAGTGTGCACAGCCTTATTCAGGTATGTGACCCACGCTATGCAAACCCAAGATCACTCACCTGCCAGTCATAGTAACCTAGGCTTTGAAAACTGTAGAGGTATAGTGTTGCTTGCTTTCAGCTGCCATGAAACTTGGCCATAAGAGATAGAAGCCCCTTCCCTCCTGATATCACCCTACCCCACCCCATTTGAGGTTTGCTCTTCACTGTTTCATGCCACTGGATGTTTTTTAGATGCGTGGGGTTGGGGGTCACAAATTATGTGACATCATTGTCTTAATGGTTTTAATGGTTTTGAGGTAGCAACATAGTCATTGTGCCTGGGACATTAACAAATGGCCAGCAGAGGAGGTTGATTTTAATATCTGGGTATTCCAGGCTGTAAAGGCTGAGGGAGGGGTAGGCTGATTTTATTTGGAGGTGGTGGTGGTAGGGGGGAACGTCAAAGGCTTGTCTGTCCGCGGCTGTTAATAGATGCACAAGCTCCCTACCTCCTTGCCTACCTCAGCCCTGGACCTTCGTCCTGTGGTGACTGCTTGAGTCCTGTCTGCACCTGGATCCTGTTCGTCATCCAGCATCTGATGCCATTACCTCTGTCTCTGCCTTGGAGCACAAACACACAGATCCGATAGATTCACGTGTTGGATGTTTCCCTCTTCCTGTGTCTGCACATGTTGGTTAAGGAAAGTTCCTCGAATTAAAGCTGCAGTTTAGCTTCTGAAAGAACTCTGAATGATCCAAGTTCAAATTCAACTATGCTCCTTTCTGCCAAAGGTAGGCCTTATATGGGATTTCCAACTGTAGGGTTGTTGAAATTTAATAATGCTCAGTTTTGGTCAAGCAGCTCCCATTTAGAATGTTTAGTTTTGAGCCTGTGGAAAAAAGAAAGCGACAAAAGGATGCAACGGACAAGATAGGAAAGCGGAGGGAAGAGATGTCCCGGGCGATTCACATGGGGGATCAGGCTCCGTGTCCTTTGCACACGATCTTGATGTTTCCCTCGGTTCTGTGGACCAGAGGCCTGGGCCCCTGCCGATTGCATTCCCTTAGCAGGAAAGGGCTGTTCCGCTCTGGGAAAAGAAGCGTTGCTTTGAACTTTAGCCTTTGGTGATGGAAAGCCAGGGCCTGCAGGCTAAAGGTATTTTGTTAGAGTTGATAGTTTTCAGTAATATTATCCTTAACAAAATAAAAGGTGATGGTACTTTACCTTTTTTTAAATTTAATCTTGTGTGTGTATTTTTTTTTTTTTAATGTTACCTTTTAGTTCCCTTTTGCCCCCCTCCCCCCAGCAGGTACTTTACTTTGGTCCTAAAGGACCAAACCTCCCTGAATTTCCCTGGGACCTGTGAATATAGCCATGGAGGCTAAAAGTAAATTGGATCTTGCTGCTCCCGTTTACAACTTCCTGTCGCCCTTCAGCGTAACCCAGCTCCTTTCTTCCCATCTCCCCGAACTTTTCCTGCCTTATCTTCTACCAGACCTTACCTGGTCTCCCCTGCTCGGGTCTGACCCACCCACGCCAGTCTCCCTAAGGTTTCGAACACATGGAAAGCTCGTTTTTGTTATTGGGCCTTTACTGCTGGTACTTTGCCTTTTCAGAATGCCTTTTATCCAGAGTTTGCACTATTGGCTTCTCCTGCTTGGGTCTCAGAGAGCCCCTCCCTGACCAGCTACCTAGAACAGTTCCTCCCCTCCCTGCCCTTTATTCTCTCTTAATCCCCTTAACTTTATTTTCTCCAAAGAACTTTAATACCATCTGGAAATACATTGTCTACTTGATGGGTGGGTTGGAAGCTTGAGAGCCTCCCTGCCTTGCTCCCTGCTGACTTGCCTGGCATAGAGTAGCACTGGATAAAATATCAGTTGTTGGAGTAAATGAATGAAGGACTTAAGAGCCAAGGTTGAGTCTGTAAGAGGACAAAATAATGCTTTATTTTCAAGAGAAGAAGAGCAAAAACAGTTTTTCTCCTTTTTCATGGGATGGGGTAGTGTTCCTTTGGAATCATTTTCTGGGATTTCTGCTTTTCGCAGTATTTTTCATCCTTTTATTCTTTCTATAGGTCGCCAGAGTCTGTAAAAACTCCATTGTTATTTTGTCGTTGTTAATGAATGACTCTTTCCTCCTCCAGAAGCCTTATTGTAGGCCTTGCTCTTCTGACAAACAAGCATTTCTACCAGCAACCACATTTCATTAATACTAGGAGGCACTATAAGTAGGGTTAAGAGCCTGGGCTTTGGAACCAGAAGGATCTGGATAATTAGCTCTGTGATCTTGAGCAATTTGCTAAAATTCTCTAAATCTCTGTTACTTATTTGTAAAAGGGAACTGGTAATAGCTACTATCACACAGGATTGCTGGGAGGATTAAATGCGAGATTCATGGAAACCAGGCATGGAGCCTGGCACGTAAGCGTCTGGTGTTGGCTATTAGTGACGTCGCTGACATTCACAGTGAGGTTCTCCTCCATGACTGGCGGGAACTCCCAATCCATTGATTTGGGGACGGGCAGTAAGAGGCAAAAAATGCCAAACTATGGATGTAAGAATGCGCAAACTGGTAGAAAACTTTTGTAAGAGTTTATTTGAGCCAATGTAAGGAAGATTACATGAAGGTGGGAGGAAGCAGGGCTGGGATTGGATTACAGGGTAGTTAACAAGATTATGTGCCCTCTTGAGGGTGGTTATTTCGAAAGTATGTTAACCTAGATGCTCCAGAACAATGGTGAGGGCTTGCCTAAGGCAAAGATAAACCTTTTGCTAAAACAGTTTTGTGTCTGGGGTGTGCCTACCCGCCATGACCTGTGAGGAATTTATGATGAGATCACCCTGTGAGGTTGCTTTCCAGAGAACCCCTTTTTCATCCACGAAATCTCACATTAGTGTAAGTGAAGACTAAAAATGTCACTTCGAATCTATCAGAACTGGAATGAAATTTAAAAACGCACAACTTTAAATAAAGACCCATGTGGAATAAGTAGTATGTATGGACGTTTTTGAAAGGAAATTTCTACTTGTCCCTCTGGCCATTCTTAGTTTTATCCTTGGATTAAGGGGGGACAACTGAAAGCTGCTTGCTTGGGCCACCTCCCTCAGCCCCTCCAGAACTGTCTTCACTGTGATGAGGCATCCTGCCTTTTGCTTACGTAGAGGGGCACTGGGCACTGTCCGAAGTAGCTGTGTATAACTTGATACTCCATTTCTTATAAGGGATTATGCTGTTGAAAACTTAAGATGCAACTTAATATCTCCTTTAAAAAGTTAATTGGAGAAATTTCTTTCAGAATCAAGTTCCAGGAAAAGCTTTGCCTCCTCTAAGGAAATGGACAATTGAAAATTTGTAACTGATCATGTTTCTCTTTTTGGTTTGGCTGCCAGGAAGCACAAAGCCAAATTTGTGGCTTGAATTTAGTGACTGTGGGGCCCTGCATCCTAACCTTTGCTGGTGTTATCCTTGTGATTTTTATTTTCTCTAATTTCAAGTTAGTGATTTTTATTAATCAGATATATGCTGGATTGGGTATGAAAGTCTATTTTAGGTGTTACACTTTAAAGTTATAAACATTGAGGCTCAAACAGGCAGTAAAAGGACTTACTCAGGGCACAGAACTAATTAGGGCAAAGCACAGATTATAATCCATACCTTTTGTTTCTTAGGCCCAGGGCTCTTTCTACTCTTCTACATTCTGGGAAAATGTCAACTCCTGACCAGAACCCTAAGTAACCCATAATGTCTCAAATGCTGGGCACAGCTTCCCTCCTCTCAGTGGTGGGCCAGAGGCTCCTTCTGCCAGTGAGGTGCTACTTTGATGCCCCCATGCCTGTTTTCTGGTTGAGTCAACGATGCCGTGCTCTCCTGTCTCCTGAGCTACAGGGCAGCCAGCCCTCCGCTGTGGTCTTGAGAATGGGGTGTCCAGACTTCGTGGCTTTGATCTGAAGCTAGATTGCCAGCTCCGAAGGAAAATACCCTCTGGTATCTGGAGTTCTCCTGTCTAGAAAGGAAGGAAGGCTTGATAATGAGAGGCCAGATGGGTACCACTGAAGCTCAGACAAGGTCGTCTGGGTATGAACAGTTGCCAAGTTTGGTTGGACTGAAGAAAATGGCTTTATTTTATCTGATACGAAATTTATTTATAGGAAATACTGATTTTGTTTTGTTTTCCCATGGTGCTCTGGCTGGGAGCACCTGGGGCAAGAGACGATAGGCTTGGAACATATCCTGCCTGAATCAGGAAAATGGTGACTTCTATTTTGAGTGAGAGAAGAGGAACCTCTGGCCTGGGGCTGAAACTCAACCTTAGAGTTTGTTTTATTTTTCTGGGTGGTAATTATTCAATAGGTAATAAGACCTTTGGGAGATACGGATGAGTTAAGGGATGGCCCCTGTCCCTATGAGCAGTTAAGGCCTATGTATCCGTTAATAACCAGAGTGCAAGGCAGAGCTTCATCATCCCAGAGCTGCAGAAGGAAGGGCGGGCATTTTGAAGATGGGATTGTGAGGAGTGAAGAGGATTTGAATGTGTAGCCCCACTGCAGGGGGAACAGGGTGTGCAAAGCCACAGAGGTACAAACATAGGAGGCAGCGTGGCAGGAATGTTCAGGAGGCACATGAGCTGTGGAAAGAGAATCCTGGGATATTGCTACAGAATTCCTAGGCCAGCCAAAGGTGTCCACAGTCAGAACATACAGGATGGGGAATCTAACAAAAGCAGGCATTTATAATCAAAAGAAATATTTCCCAGGTTTTTTCCTAATGCATCCCATCCCCCACGTGTATGGGGTCTGGAAATCCCGGAGGTAAGGGGGTGATCTCCCTGGCAGAAACCAACCACCGAATGTCTTTGACCCTTGGCCTCCTTTCCCTTACTCTCTTTTTTGCCATTTCCTTTTCTTGTGTTTATGGCTCCTGTGTGTGTCGTCTATTATATTTACTTCCCCTTTATCTTTTACCTCTTTGGTCCCTGTCTCATGGGGATCCTTCCCTAAATTGACCCACTGCCAGAAGGACCATAAGGTAGAAATGAATTCTCTTTCAGTAGTTGCTGTGTTAACGGTATAAACACATATTATGTAACCATAAATAGGAGTTTTGATTAGTTTTGCTTATGTGATTGTTAATTTGCTTCCTTTAGGATTTGAGGGAAAAAAGTATCCCCACACATGACTGCAGCCTTAAAGCCAAATATCCCATCGGCAGGAAGACACTGAACGCTAAGCTAGCTTTTTCTTGTGCCTAGTCTGTTGATCCACCTTCTGGTTCAGGTTATTCCCTCCCCTCATTTGTTTTCTCAGGTTTCTGCAATTAAAAGTTGAGCCAATCCTGAGAGTGAAGATATTTTAAGAAAACTTAACGTCTTTGTTTTGCATGTGATTTCCTGACTTGGACTCTCCTTCTGGGAGGTGTTCTGCTTATTGCCTCAGAGGGCTCAAGGCCCAAGGATGCACAAGGCAGACCTGGCTCTTGCTTGTCTAAGTGGAAGGATCCCTGCAGGTTGGGAGGGTGGGGTCCCAGGATTCAAATGTTGACTCTGAAACAGGTCATCATCGTAATGCCTGCCTCCCTGGGTTGTTGTGAGGACTAATTGAGATAATGCATATCAAGGACCTGCCCTTCCTGGGCCCTTAATAGGAAAGTAGTAGTTATGGAGTCCTGGAGGCTTAGTGACTGTCGCTGTGGGGCCTCAGGTGACTCCTCCCCACCTCCTCCCCTCATTTCCCCCCTGTCGACCAAGGCACTTTTGAGCTCTTAACGGCCAGCCAGACTTTGGGCTAGGTCT